GGTTTTAAAGGTTAGTACGTTTTTTTTGTTTTAAGGCTTTAGGGTTTTTTTTGAGGGTTTTTAGGTTTAAGGTTAGGTTTAGGCTCTCAAATTTAACCAGGAGAACTCAATTGTCAATTTTTTTCTTCTTCACATAAACTTGATCGTAAATCACTCTAATCCACGAATAGGTTTACAAGTTTGGGAGGTAAGAGTTAGGTTACGTTTGGTTAGGTAGGTTAGGGTTAGGTTAGGTTTTAGGTTAGGTTAGGTTTGCTGAAATTTAACCAGGAGACTCCAAATTTCGTTTTCTCACATAAACTTGATCGTAAATCACTCTAATCCACGATAGGTTACAGTACCTGCAATTTGGGGAGGTTAGTTAGGTTACGTTGGTTAGGTTAGGTTAGGTTAGGTTGGTTAGGCTCAAATTTAACCAGGAGACTCCAAATTTCGTTCTTCACATAAACTTGATCGTAAATCTCTAATCCACGATAGGTTACAGTACCTGCAATTTGGGGAGGTTAGGTTAGGGTACGTTGGTTAGGTTAGGTTAGGTTAGGTTAGGTTAGGCTCAAATTTAACCAGGAGACTCCAAATTTCGTTTTCTCACATAAACTTGATCGTAAATCACTCTAATCCACGATAGGTTACAGTACTGCAATTTGGGGTTAGGTTAGGTTAAGGTTAGGTTAGGTTAGGTTAGGTTAGGTTAGGTTAGGCTCAAATTTAACCAGGAGACTCCAAATTTCGTTTTCTCACATAACTTGATCGTAAATCACTCTAATCCACGATAGGTTACAGTACCGCAATTTGGGGAGGTTAGGTTAGGTTAGTTGTAGGTTAGGTAGGTTAGGTTTAGGTTAGGTTAGGCTCAAATTTAACCAGGAGACTCCAAATTTCGTTTTCTCACATAAACTTGATCGTAAATCACTCTAATCCACGATAGGTTACAGTACCTGCAATTTGGGAGGTTAGGTTAGGTTAGGTTGTTAGGTTAGGTTAGGTTAGGTTAGGTTTAGGTTAGGCCTCAAATTTAACCAGGAGACTCCAAATTTCGTTTCTCACATAAACTTGATCGTAAATCACTCTAATCCACGATAGGTTACAGTACCTGCAATTTGGGGAGGTTAGGTTAGGTTACGTTGGTTAGGTTAAGGTTAGGTTAGGGCTCAAATTTAACCAGGAGACTCCAAATTTCGTTTTCTCACATAAACTTGATCGTAAATCACTCTAATCCACGATAGGTTACAGTACCTGCAATTTGGGGAGGTTAGGTTAGGTTACGTTGGTTAGTTAGGTTAGGTTAGGTTAGGTTAGTTAGGCTCAAATTTAACCAGGAGACTCCAAATTTCGTTTTCTCACATAAACTTGATCGTAAATCACTCTAATCACGATGGTTACAGTACCTGCAATTTTGGGAGGTTAGGTTACGTTGGTTAGGTTAGTTTAGGTTAGGTTAGGTTAGGTTAGGCTCAAATTTAACCAGGAGACTCCAAATTTCGTTTTCTCACATAAACTTGATCGTAAATCACTCTAATCCACGATAGGTTACAGTACCTGCAATTTGGGGAGGTTAGGTTAGGTTAGTTGTTAGGTTAGGTTAGGTTAGGTTAGGTTAGGTTAGGCTCAAATTTAACCAGGAGACTCCAAATTTCGTTTTCTCACATAAACTGATCGTAAATCACTCTAATCCACGATAGGTTACAGTACCTGCAATTTGGGGAGGTTAGGGTTAGGGTTAGTTGGGTTAGGTTAGGTTAGGTTAGGTTAGGTTAGGTTAAAAATTTAACCAGGAGACTCCAAATTTCGTTTTCTCACATAAACTTGATCGTAAATCACTCTAATCCACGATAGGTTACAGTACCTGCAATTTGGGGAGGTTAGGTTAGGTTACGTTAGGTTAGGTTAGGTTTAGGTTAGGCTCAAATTTAACAGGAGACTCCAAATTTCGTTTTCTCACATAAACTTGATCGTAAATCACTCTAATCCACGATAGGTTACAGTACCTGCAATTTGGGGAGTTAGGTTAGGTTACGTTGGTTAGGTTAGGTTAGGTTAGGTTAGGTTAGGGTTAGTTAGGCTCAAATTTAACCAGGAGACTCCAAATTTCGTTTTCTCACATAAACTTGATCGTAAATCACTCTAATCCACGATAGGTTACAGTACCTGCAATTTGGGGAGGTTAGGTTAGGTTACGTTGGTTAGGTTAGGTTAGGTTAGGTTAGGTTAGGTTAGGCTCAAATTTAACCAGGAGACTCCAAATTTCGTTTTCTCACATAAACTTGATCGTAAATCACTCTAATCCACGATAGGTTTAGTACCTGCATTTTGGGAGGTTAGGTTAGGTTACGTTGGTTAGGTTAGGTTAGGTTAGTTAGGTTAGGTTAGGTTAGGGTTAGGTTTAGGTTAGGTTAGGTTAGGCTCAAATTTAACCAGGAGACTCCAAATTTCGTTTTCTCACCTAAACTTGATCGTAAATCACTCTAATCACGATAGGTTACAGTGCCTGTGTAACACGATTCTTGAATCGTATTGTGTAAATTAGTTTCCCCTTATGTTTAATTACATTTTCTGTTTTATGTGAAGTTCCAACATTATCTTCTGGAATATTCGTTTTATATGTTTATAAACCATTATAAACAATCTTCGACTTTTGCTATGCACATTGAGGAATACTGTAATTTCTAATGATTTATTACTTAAGAGAGAGGAACCATGTACTGTTAAAATAAATTACAAGATCATGTACATTTAAGTATATTTTTATAAGAGCTTGTTGGTGAGGAGAGAAGAGAGGAATCAACAATCAAATGAACATGGAAAGCGGCCGCTGTCAAAGATTTTGATATTTTAGAGTAGAATCATTATTACAAACATAAGCATCATGGAATTGTGCAGTCAAGTGAGAGTGAATACAAAGGGACAGTAAATGTGCCCTTCTGAGACATGACAGTGCCGCATTGAAGTTCTGGACTTTGTCTTGGTGCAGTTGGTGGTGTCGACAATGTTGTAAGTATATAATTTTGTAATTCTTAAAAATATTCTAGGTTTTGAGTTTTGATGATGAGACTTCAGGAATTAGTTTAACATGTTCTATGGCTGTGAAATGATATTAACATAAGTGTTGTGAGATGCTACCTTCAAAGGGAAATTATTAATATTGATTTAATGTTGAGATTGGAAATTCCATATATGTTATTGTTCAGGATTGCTATAAAGCATTTAGGTTTATTTTGAATTATATTGTATTATCTTTGTATAGGATATTATGTAATTATTTTGGGTGATCATTGCTAACCTATCTTTTTTGTATTTCAACTGTTACATTCATGTGCCTCACTGTGATTTATGAATAGTTAACCAATACTTTTGTATTTCAACAATTACATTTATGTACCTTTCTGTGAACTATATTATGGAAACTTTTGCAGGTTGGAACAAATAGAATAAAGAGTTGCAGCACGTTGTGTTTTACCCTGCTGACGAGTCTGGAGCTAACATTCCAACAACAGTTGGCCAAGATGTCGAAACCTACAGAACTGGAATCTCTACGCCGTCTGAGAGGAACAGCGAAAGGGAAGTTAAGTAGGAAATGCAAATTATTACGAGAACAAGTAAGTGAAAATTCATCATGGGACCAAATTGAGTCGTACTATATGGAGGTTCAGAAAGCTTTCAGTGAGTTAGAAATATTACATGGAAAAGTAACTGAAAATATGTGCCAAAGTGTAGAAGAAAATTTTGATAAGAAGCTAGAGGAAGAGGAACTCTATATAGAACAGGCTGAAATAATAAAAAATGAAGCATATGCTCAGCTAATGGCTAGCCGAAAGAAAGTGGAAGAGGAATGTGCAACTGAGAAGTTAAAGATTAAAGTAAAGCCATTGGATCCTCCAAAATTTGATGGAGATATCCGACAATATCAAACTTTTCGTAGCAACTATAGAAAGATTATGACGGAAACTTATGGGAAGAATGCCTATGCATTATTTCAGTGTTTGTCAGGAGAAGCATTAAGTGTTGTTCATGGGGTGGAGGATGATTTTGATAAAATGTTTTATCGTCTTGATCAGAGATATGCTGATCCGATTAGACTAACGGATTGCATAATTGAACAGCTAAGAAAACTAAAACCAATCCCTGAAGGTGACACTATTAAATTTATTGATGCAGTAAATGTGATTGAAAATTGTTGGACAGACATGCAGAGAAATCAATTAAAGGAACAAATGTCTACTGTGATTGTAATAAGTTTGATTGAGAAAATATTGCCTTCACAACAAAGGCGGGATTGGACAAGAATTTATCAAGACTTGACGGACAAATCAAGTGCCTTCCCAAACCTTATGGAATTCTTGTTGAAAGAAAGACAAATACTGGATTATATGGACAAAGATGTACGCAAATTTAGTCAACCAAATAAAGCAAGTGTACATAATGTAGAAGTAAGTGAGAGGGATGACCCTTTTATTAGTGCCTTACAAAAATTGCAAATTCAACAAACCGAACACCAGGCAAATATAGAAAATATTTTGCAAAGGATGACTCAGTTTATAACAGGGAATCCCAAAGTAACACAATCTAGATTTCCTTTGGGTAATAGTATTTATTGTTGGTACCATAATTCAGATAATCATTCGATCCATAAATGTTCCGTATTCCATAACTTGGAACCTACAGTTAAGATGGATGTGTTGAAGAAAAACTTTATATGCTTTCATTGTTTGGGTAAAGGGCACAGTCAGAAAAATTGCCATGAAAGGAGAACATGTTTTATCAAAATGAAACATGGTAATGTTTGCGGTAAACCACATCATCCTAAATTACACTACTGTTTTCACAAATCAATCCAAATGAAGTGAATATCAATATCAACAAATCAGAGAATTCTATTTTATTAATGATTGGACAAGTTCACTGCAAAGACAGGGAAATTGTTACTCTGTTTGACCCTGGAAGCACTAATAGTTTGATTACACACAGTAAAGCTCGAGAACTTGGTTTGTGTGGGATTCCTTATAACATTACCATGGTGACAGTAGGAAATGTTTGTGATACTGTTTCTACCAAACTTTATGAAGTCCCTCTCATAGATGTCACAGGGAAGATAAGGTCAGTACATTGTGTAGGATTGACGATATTACTTCTGAAGTGAAACCAGTAGACATAAGTGAAATACACTATATATTCGATGTCTCCACAAACTGACATATTAAGACCTCAAGGGAAAGTAGACTTATTAATAGGTGCGGATAATTGTGACATGATCCCAAGTGTTGTGAAAACGGTAGGGAAATTACAACTTATGAAAGGACCTTTTGGTTACTGCATCAGAGGTTCACATCAGAACTTCAAGGATAATAATACTAGATATTATAGTGCAAAGATAAATCATATACAGATTAACCGAGAATTAGATGCACTACATGGAGAACCTTGGAAAACTTTAAAGGAAGATTTGGATAATTTTTTCACAGTGGATCATTTAGGGACTAATTGTAAACTTCAGTGTGATAACTGTAGTAATTGTAACAAATGTAGTAGAGAATTGGACATTACTATAAAGGAGGAAGAAGAAATGAAATTAATACTCAAGGGTCTTAATCATCAAGAAAGGGAGAAGGTTTGGGTAGCACACTATCCTTGGATAAAGGATCCATATCTTCTCCCTAATAACTTTGCAGCTACAATAATGAGATTAAAGGGAACTGAAAGACGATTAAGAAAATTAGGTGAAATGTCTTCAAAAGCATATAAAGAACAAATTGATGATATGCTGAAAAGAGGAGTTGCAAAGAAATTAACGAAAGATGAAATTAGGCATTATTCGGGCCCAGTACATTATGTTTCGCATCACGAAATCTTGAAACCTGATTCCATTTCAACACCAACACGTATTGTGTTCAATTCTTCTGCTTCTTACAATGGACATATTTTGAATCACTACTGGGCTAAGGGCCCTAATGTATTAAACAACCTCTTTGGTTTATTACTTAGATTTAGAGAGAATCCTATTGCATTTATCGGAGATATTTCAAAGATGTTTAATAGTATAAGACTTTCAGAATTTGACTGTCATGTTCACAGATTTTTATGGAGAGGTTTAGAAGATCGTCCTCCTGATCATTATGCTTTGACAGCAGTTCCATTTGGAGACATTTGTAGTCCTGCTATTGCAGTATTGGCCATGAGACAAACAGCATATAAATATAAAGAAAGATTTCCTGAGGCTGCGAATGTTATTATAGGTGACAGTTACATGGATGACATAATTCATAGTGCAGACAACATTGATGATGCTATTGAATGCATGAATGATATTGAATATATTTTAAAACAAGGTAGTTTCCATATTAAGAAATGGGTAATGAATGGGAATCCACATACTGAGAATGACATTAATCTTTTGAATACTGAAGGAGAAAAGGTACTCGGCATAATGTGGAATCCTGAAAGAGATGAAATGTGGTTTAAAACAAATTTGAGATTCATGCCGAAGAGGGAATCCAAGATTTCTTGTGTAACGGTTAGATTAGAGACTCTTGATAAGGAATTCCCTGAGATATTAACTAAAAGACAAGTTCTCAGCCAGATAGCTACCATTTTTGATCCCATGGGATATGCTGCCCCTATCATATTATGTGGAAAATTATTAATGAGAGAGGTTATTGTATACTTGGATGAGATGGGAAAGAAACTTGACTGGGATGATCCATTGCCTAGAAATCTCAGGGAAAAATGGTATATATTCTTTAAGAGTATATTCCAATTGGAAAACTTATGCATACCAAGATGCATTAGAAATACCTCTCTTATTGAACCTAGTTTAATAATATTTTCTGATGCTAGTACCCAAGCCTATTCTGCATGTGCCTATGCTCGTTGGCAAGTTGATAGAGGAAATTATGAATCTAGACTACTTGCATCAAAGAGTAGACTCGCTCCTGTAAAGCAGCAAACTATACCTAAACTTGAACTTTCTAGTGCTGTTCTGGGTGTCCGTCTCCGTAACGCAATTATTAAGGAGAGCAGCATCCAGTATCATAAAGTGTATCATCTTACAGATTCTGAAATTATACTTGCTCAAATTATGAAGCCTAACATTTCTGTTGGTACATACGTTGCTAATAGGATATCAGAAATTAAAGAAACCACCAGTAATGAAGAATGGCATTGGATCCCTACAGACAGTAATGTAGCTGATTTATTGACTCGACCTGATCCTACCATTGACATTAGCTCTGAATCGAAATGGCAGAAAGGGCCACCTTTTTTAAAGTTGCCTTATTCACAGTGGCCTGTTAAATCTATACCACTAAAATCAGAAGAGACCGTCATTAGTAATACTATTGAGATTAATAGTTTAGACAGAGACAACTTTATTTGATATTGAAGGTTTTCAGTCCTATCGGAAACTCATTTATGTTACTGCCAGAATAATTAATGCCTTTCGCCAGTGCTCTTTCAAAGCTATAAGGGACCTGCCAACTATAGAGGAATTAAATGCTGCAGAGACAATTTGGATTAAACGTATACAAGCCCCTTTATTATTGAACTGGAAAAGGAGATTTAAGCGTTTAGGTCCATTTATGAAGAATGATACATTATATGTAGGTGCTAGAATTGCAATATGGATGAAAAACAACTATAATAATGAATCATTTATATTGTTGCCTACAAAACATAAATTTACTGAGTTATGTATTAAAGAATTTCATGATAGGGATCATGCCGGAATAGAGACTACCCTGTGCAAACTGCAAAATAAATTTTGGATACCCCAAGCAAGGAGATTGATTAGGAGAATTAAAAGTCAATGTGTGACATGTAGAAAATTAGAAAGGAAGATAATAGGACAAAGCATGGGACCTGTACCCAAGGAGAGATTGAAACCTTCCCCTCCCTTTTATCATGCAGCATTAGATTTATTTGGTCCTTTATTGATAAAGGACACCGTCAAAGGGAGATGTAAAAAGAAGGTATATGGAGTTATGATAAATTGTCTTAGTTCAAGAGCCTCTTATGTTGATTTAATTGAAGGCTATGATGCAGATAGCTTTATAACAACACTGCGCAGATTTACAGCATTAAGAGGCTTCCCAAGGTCAATATATTCTGATTGTGGGACTCAGTTGAAATTAGCAAGTAAAGAGCTAACCCAATTTGGTTTAAATGGTGGAATGGAATGGAACTTTACAAAATCAGCAGATGCTCCATGGGAGAATGGTTGCTCAGAAGCCCTAGTAAAATTAGTCAAGAAAACTATCGCTAGAGTAATTGGCAATGCTACCCTAACATTTGGGGAATTACAAACTGTAATGTTTGAAATTGCTAATATATTGAATGAAAGGCCAATAGGTATGAAAAATGGCTCTAGTGCAGTTCAGGGTTCATACCTCTGTCCAAATGATCTGATTTTAGGACGTGCAAGTGTTAAAGCACCAGAAGGAATATTTACACATAATGTTAGTACAAAGTCACGGCAGAATTTTATTAATGATATTGTGAAATCGTTTTGGAAGAAATGGATGATCCATTATTTTCCAACTCTCATAATACAACAGAAATGGCATTGTGAAAAAAGAAACCTAAGAGTAGGAGATGTTGTTATTGTGCAAGATCAAAATACGATAAAGGGGACATGGAAATTAGCTGAAGTTTGTAGCATTATACCCAGTTCAGATGGTAAAGTCAGGGATGTCGAAATTAGATACAAAATACAGAAAGAGAATGGAGACTATGAGGGTCAACAAGATGTAAGAGTAAATAGATCAGTCCACAAATTAGTACTTATTTTACCTGTTGAAGATCAATAATTCTTGGCGGGGGGAATGTAACACGATTCTTGAATCGTATTGAGTAAATTAGTTTCCCCTTATGTTTAATTACATTTTCTGTTTTATGTGAAGTTCCAACATTATCTTCTGGAATATTCGTTTTATGTTTATAAACCATTATAAACAATCTTCGACTTTTGCTATGCACATTGAGGAATACTGTAATTTCTAATGATTTATTACTTAAGAGAGAGGAACCATGTACTGTTAAAATAAATTACAAGATCATGTACATTTAAGTATAATTTTATAAGAGCTTGTTGGTGAGGAGAGAAGAGAGGAATCAACAATCAAATGAACATGGAAAGCGGCCGCTGTCAAAGATTTTGATATTTTAGAGTAGAATCATTATTACAAACATAAGCATCATGGAATTGTGCAGTCAAGTGAGAGTGAATACAAAGGGACAGTAAATGTGCCCTTCTGAGACATGACAGTGCCGCATTGAAGTTCTGGACTTTGTCTTGGTGCAGTTGGTGGTGTCGACAATGTTGTAAGTATATAATTTTGTAATTCTTAAAAATATTCTAGGTTTTGAGTTTGATGATGAGACTTCAGGAATTAGTTTTAACATGTTCTATGGCTGTGAAATGATATTAACATAAGTGTTGTGAGATGCTACCTTCAAAGGGAAATTATTAATATTGATTTAATGTTGAGATTGGAAATTCCATATATGTTATTGTTCAGGATTGCTATAAAGCATTTAGGTTTATTTTGAATTATATTGTATTATCTTTGTATAGGATATTATGTAATTATTTTGGGTGATCATTGCTAACCTATCTTTTTTGTATTTCAACTGTTACATTCATGTGCCTCACTGTGATTTATGAATAGTTAACCAATACTTTTGTATTTCAACAATTACATTTATGTATCTTTCTGTGAATTATATTCTGGAAACTTTTGCAGGTTGGAACAAATAGAATAAAGAGTTGCAGCACGTTGTGTTTTACCCTGCCTGACGAGTCTGGAGCTAACATATATATATATATATATACAGTTGCCCAAGAAGGAGACTCAGGAAGTCGCCGAAGAGCCTGAGAAGGAGACCCAGGAGGTCGCCGAAGAGGCCGAGAAGGAGACCCAGGAAGTCGCCCAGGAGCCCGAAAAGGAGATCCAGGAAGTCGCCCTCGAGCCCAAGAAAGAGACCCAGGAAATCGCCCAGGAGCCCGAGAAGGAGACCCAGGAAGTCGCCGAAGAGTCCGAGAAGGAAACCCAGGAAGTCGCCCAGGAGCCCGAGAAAGAGACCCAGGAAGTCGCCGAAGAGTCCGAGAAGGAGACCCCGAGAAGAGACAAGTCGCCCTCAGAGCCCCGAGAAGGAGACAAGAAAGTTCGCCCTCGAGCCCTAGAAGTTAGAGGCGGAAGACATATTTCAACGACCGA